GCGACTCCCTGGGAGAATTACCTCGTCGGTCGTAGCGGGGTTCCAGCTCATGTCATTCAGGCAGGCTCGAGGATGCTCCGCGGCCACTTGCGTGAACTGGTGACGTGCCATCAGATTCTTCCTAATGTCTACCACGCGGGACTTTTGAAAGGTTCCGCCATGCGCAGTCCCCTGGGACGCTACCGTGCGGGGTGCTCGCTCCGAGCTATTGGATGAATGATCACGACGTTGGGAAGGAACGATCCTACCCAATGTCCGCCCAGTGGTTCTGTTGATCTCATCCATTGTTGCTCTGGCCACTTGGTTGAATGATTCTTGGAACTGAGGAGCGAGATAGGTGTCAGAGGGGTCTGGTATAGTGTTACTCTGGCTAGAAGCAGACTGTTGTGTCTGCTGAGGAGCCTCGGGCCCTCTCGATGCACACAGCTCCTGTACCCTTGTCTTGGGGCGTGTGTCGCTGGATCCCTCCGAGGATTTCATTGTCGCCAGAACTTCCTGTGACACTTGGCTCACCTTTGCCATATACAGCTCCTTCAGGTGCTTTGTTTCATCCTCCTTGTAGGCCACCTGCAGACCTTCATATTTCTTCTTCCATTCGTCTCTTTCTCGAGCTATCGCCCTATACTCCTGGAGTTTGGCACACAACTCGCTCTGATCTCTCTCCTTCTTCTCTAGCGTCTCAATCGTCTCCGACGTCTGGATCTCTATTTCACTCACCCTCACTCTCTTCGGAGGAGGAGCAGCTGTTGGAGAGTCGACCGAATTTGACAGGCCTGGCCCATCACGTTGTCTCTTCGCTCCGATGAGTGGCTGCGCAGGTTGGACGGGTAAGGGCATCTCACCTAGCCGGTGGTACCTCTGTTCACCTAGTCCTGGCTCACGAGCCAGGTCGTGGCCAGACAATTCTCCACGCCGCCATCTCATCAGTCGGTTTCGACCTCTCTCGGCGGTCCCAGACTCACCGAAGGCCAACATCAACACGACTTCTGTAGGGCGATTCCCTCGACCCTCTCGTCCTAATGCATTGAGGAGCGCGACCACAAACATCGCCAGCCCCAGGTCTTCTCGTGTAAAATCACAATCGATCAGCTGCTGATAGATCTCGTCTAGAGTCGCTCCTAGACTCGCTGAGAGGAATTCCATTAGTTCGTTCGTGTCACCCATTTCTTATCGTGTTGATTCTTGCTGTCGTGTAGTTTCTTCCTGGTTCGTTCGATACAATTAATTCAATAAACAATTTCCGATCAATCAAGATCTAAAAAAACAAGTCGCGACTTAGAACCATCATTTTTGGATTAAACATCATTCAACTCTTTAAAACTCTTCATTGAAATTCTCTTCTCAATTCTGATTTAAAATTTTAGCACCAAGGTGGATCGTCCACCTGTATCTGCGTCAGGGTAGCACAAATGAGCGCTGTCACCTTGATGACCTGGAGTACTATAGGTCTTTTATGACACAAAACATAAAACATATCATAGCATTAACATAACACATAAACACATAAACATCACACATCTATATTATCACATAAAAACATATTCCCTAATATTGTACCTAAAACCTAACCTAATCTAAATTTTGACATTAATTCTTATAAAGTAACTTAATAAAAACCACTTATCGCCAAACGCAGTTCCTAGCATATGCTGAGATAGTATTTTTTATGTAAGTAAACCTCTATGTCAGTTTCTGAAAATATCACATGTACAAGTGGGTACAACTCTCTCGGATGTAGCTTTCCCCTATTAGGATCTTATACTGGTAACGAGAGAGAGAGAGAAAATTCCACAGGTATTCCCGATTGCCTCCCTAGAATTCTTGTCTTCTGATCTTCAACAGATTACTCTGGGTGATCCTTGACTGGTTTCTATGATTTATCGAGCCATCTTGTGAGAGGCAGACCGTCATAAATCTCCTTGTCTTTAAATAAACCTCAATAATTTAATGTAGGCCTGTCAGCTTCCCTCTGTTCTTGTCTCTGGTAAGTTTCTGTCTTCTTTCTCAAGCTGTCTTCATTCTGGTGTTTGCCTCTAGTCTTGGTCTCAGTTATCATATTAGAACCAACTAGACGCACTATCCATCTCCCGGTGTAACTTTGATCCATCGAGTAATTTTCAGCCAAGACAATGCTCAGTTATCCCACAGTAACTTAAATGGCTTTCTGCCCAGATTTGCTCTGTATTTCTCCACCAATGTAACTACTGCAAAATTCTCCAACTTGGGCGACCCGTACATCATCTGCCTTTATGCCTCATGAGCTGTTGCATCGGGTAAACTTTGTCCGCGTAGCCTTTGATGAATTCTCTATAGTTCGCGAAACCAAGCAAAGCTCATCAACTGATGTGCAACCTTTGGGGATTTCCAAGTCGGGACTGCCTCAATTGCATCTGAATCTGGTCTAACGCCATGTTTGTCCATCATTCTCCACAGGTGTTTTATTGAGTACGCATTTCGACGGCTTAAATTTCAGACCTGCCGCTTTCATACATGTAAACGCTTCACCCAGGTGATCGATGTGGTTCTCAAGGGTTGGCGTTGCTATCACCTCGTCATCCACGTCTCACATTACCAAGTTCCCATACTTCTTTGTTAATCTTTTTAGTGCATGTGACATCAATCTCTGGAAGGTGGCTGTCGCATTGCATTGGGCGAAAGGCATCTTTTTCTGTTGAAACAGTCCCAGCTTGCAAGCGAATCCCGTTTCTCCCTATCTTGTTTTCTAAGCGGTACCTGCCAATAACGCTGACCCAAGATCGAAAGTAGTGAAAATCTTTGCGTCAACCAATTTTGAAAGACTTTCTTCTATTCTCGGGATGGGATATGAATCCTTCACCGTGACGGAGTTCAGATATCAAAAATCACAACAGAATCTCAGTTGATCTCCATTCTCTTTGGCATTCACTACTCCACAGGATTTGGATGGTTCTCTGATGTCATACTCTAATAAGGTTACTATTTCTTTTCTCCATGCATCCGACTTCTGTGGGGTCATGCGCCTCGCTTCCTCCCTGTGAGGTACCGCTCACTCCTCTAGTTCTATTTCACATTCAACAAAATAACAACACACGACGTCCGCCTTATTCTCGAGAAAATGTCCTGATTCCTGTCTAACACATTCTTGATGGCTTCGAACTTATCGTGTGTTGTCTTTCCCCTTAAACATTCAGTTTTTGTTATACCGGTTTATCCATATCAACGCCTCAGGTGTGGGTCGCTTTAGAAATTTTGAGAAGCTTAAGAGTCCATCGTCCGTCTCTGACTTCAATGAGCTAATAATTCCCTAGAATTTTTTTTATCGTTTCAATCTATTCAAGATACAAGTTTTGTCTTTGTGATTCCGACAATCAAGAACTTCTACTTTATACCTGCAATGCATATCCCATTTTCTATTTTTTCTGGATTTTGATTGGTGTATCAAGAATTTTCAACAAAACACTGACGCAGAGGCCACCCTTAGCGATCGAGATTGATCTTCTTAAAATATCAGCACTTTGGCTATTTGGATTCGTTACTACAAATACCTGTTTATTATCACTGAATTATTTGTACTTCCTCATGCTCAAGCTCACAATTGCAGCATCATTGGCTTTCAACCTCGCCCACCTACTCATGAAAACTGGAGCTTTAAACTCCTGTGTCGTTATCAAATTTACCGGTTTTGCTGCAGACTTCCTCTCCGTGCTTCGAATCCTGAACAAGGCATTGTTAAGACCTACCGGTACACAAAAGTTCCTGATAAAATCTCTGCCCAAAGCAAATTGATTTGATTTATCTAGATTCTCCACTACCAAAAAGCTAATCCACAGATTGCGTTTCCCTGAAGGCAGCCAATGTCGGCAGATATTTTGCCTGTACTCATTAGTTTATCGATATGTTTAACTTCCTAGTTTACTTCGCACGAGGGCGATTGGTGATTGCTGGGTTTGATGAATTAAACTGTGTTGCGATGGGAAGTACGTTTGTTTCGGGTGTTTCCGGTGATGTTTTTTCTTCAAATGCAATGGGGGATGTGCTTGGTGGTCTGTTGGGAGAGTTGGACCCTTTTGCAAAGTTCTCGGGTGTGCATTGTATGCAGGAGAACACATCGTAACAAAACTTGCTGCTCTGTAGCGCGCTACTAGAGACATGGATGTATGCTTGAGAAATGACACACCCTATGTCTCTTTTTTGGAGGTGGCGATTGCAAATATGATTGACAGTGTTCATGATCGGCCATTATTTGGCAGTGAGGAGAATCAATCTATGGTGAGAATATACAAGTTAGCTGAGCGAGCAAAAAACTGAAAAATTTATTACCATAAAAACAAAAGTGAGTACTATCTTTACGAAGCATATAAGCACTAAAAGTAACATTTACATTGGGAAAACATTTTGGATTCTTGAGTGGGCAATATGTATTATTTATAAGGCAAAACAAAGAATTTTTTAAGCACCCGTTATAGAGTGATGATTTGAAGAGAGGATGGTTTCAGGGATAATAAGCACATATGGGTTAAAGCTATAAAATATTAAATTTATTTAAAATCTCCAATCATTAGCAAGCCGGCTACTATGGTATCACAGTTCAGTTTCAGCGACGGGTAGCGGGAGACAGTAGCGGCAAGGTCCGCTAGCTGTGCATCTCTGCGCGAGTGAACTGTGGCTCCTACTTAGTCCTTGAGGTTCCTATTAGCAGTTTCCTGCTCCACTAGGGTAGCCACTTCGGCCTGTACTTCGGCCCAAACATTCACTAAACAGGGGATAAAAAAGGCAAAACAAAAGAAAGAATAGATTGTAAAACGGATTTTAGAAAAATGGGTTTTAAAAACAATTAACAAAAACATGCGAGCGGTTACGACAGGTGGAGGTTACGGCGGGATGTCCGGGTAGAAAGGGGAGTTTCGCGATTTGACGAGCTTGACTCTAAAATCCTTTGCCTTCTTCTTACAAGCGGCCTTCTTCTTACAAGCGTACCTTCTTCTTACAAGCGTACCATTATCTGCATTTTACATGAATCAATTTAATAAGTTTATCACAACAATTAGGCTAATAAGGACCGAGGCATGGTTAAACTCCATTACTTGTCAGTCGATAGGCCTCAAGCTGACAAACGAGCAAGTTTTCATTGCTGTTTATCTCCGTCTTGGTGCCTAGGTGTGCCTGGAACACACTTGTGACAGTGGTAAGTTTGGCAATCATCGGGGTTTTTACGGCTTATCATTCTTGCGAAACGCTGGAAGGCACGCTCGCCATGCCATGAAGGAAGTGCTAAAGTTATGAAACAACAAATCCGCATTTTCAAAATTCCGGCAAAATTGCGGGAAAATCAGCCAAAGACCTGAAAGAGCTAAGATGCAAAAAATCAACAAATTTTTGCCTTTTTTTTCAGTAAATCGCGCTCGCAACACAAGTGAATGCGGACCTGATATCTTCTAATTTTAAACTTATTTCAAAGACGACTACCTGATGCCTTTTTTGAGCAGAGAGCTCTGTTTTTTCTTCAACCAAGTTTGTCAATTGCAGTACAAATTGTACATTTAGCCTCGACACTGGATCTAATTCGCAGCTATGATCTTTTAGACGACATAATCGACCTCTAAACTTTTAACGCCTCTCGTGCTTCACTCCCTTATGTCACATACTTTAGTTCCTAGTAGGCAAATGCATCTATATACCAGATGCATCATATAACTGACCAAATGCGTTATATATTTATAAAATTAGCCATTACCAAAACTATTGTAACTATAATAATTTATTTTCTGACTTTCACAACAATCACATTGGCTAAATGACACAAACGAGCAAAGATTATGGGCTCTAGATAGTGAAAAAAAAATGTTTCAGTCAGAAATGACACATCAGCCAAAGCCAAAAGGAAAATGAAAAGAGGCGGCGTCATTCTTTTAGTACCCACAAAACTTAACTCAAAGCTACGCCGAGACCTGAATGATCTGCACAAAAAATATGACATTTTATGGAATGAATTTCATACTGAATCCAATAAAAACGAAAGAACCACCCTTTTAATTATATCTTAAAATCCAAGCAAAACTGAAATCACGTAAACAAAACTGAATTTTTTGTAGACCTTGCTTAGTCGATTGACTATGCTCAATCATTTATCACTAATATAAAACTTTTAGGCAATTATAACCTAATATATCTTAACATTGACGATAAAAATTCACTTGATAAAGTTCTCACGCCATACAATCTCGATGCTTCTAGTAAATTAATTCCTACTCACTCGAACTAATTTTTCACACCTCCTATAAAAATGGATCAATTGGCAATTTTTTTCACAATTGAACTTAAAATGAGTGGAAACGAAATTCACTTCAAGCGCGAAATATATATAAAAAACTACACAGAAAAGTTATTCAAATCAACCTGTCGAAAAACGAATGGGAATGTTCAACACAATTTCAGTGGAGACAAAGTTGAAAAAATGAGTATGTTCTCCAAAAACGAAATTGTAATACGTAATGTAACAACAAAAATATACTTAAGAGACATTAGTTTCATATGGCAGTCGGTCAATTAGCAAAAAAAAACTGAGTGTGAAAATTAAACCAAATTTAACGACACATTTAACTCCAAAAAATCATCCAACATTTCTCTTCTTAAAAACTCCTTTGGAAAAATCACAGCCATAGCTTTAAAATGGTGAATCTCCTCAACTATATCAACTATCAACTTTAGGTTGTTTCAAAAGAAAAAGACATCACGAGCTGTTCACTGAAGAACACCATCAAAACAAGTCCAATTACAAAACTCCATTTTCGTTCAGATTTATAACTACCGAAGAAAATTCAAGAGAACTTCTCAAACTTAATGCAAAGAAACCGTAAGTCTCATCTGACATTCCATCGTGGGCTCTTTAAAATGGTTGCAATGAATTCTACTTAGATCTTATTTTTCTTCTTCTTGACTACCTGAAAAACAATTTTTTTCAACAGAAGCTAAAAAAGCAATTGTCACTCCAAAATACAAAAAAGACAACCCTGAATTACTTGAAAACTACAAGCCTATCTCAAATACTGGAGTACTTACAAAATCGTTTGAAAATTTATGATTTAAACAAAAAGAACGAATATCTTTTATCTGAAAACATTTTAAGGAACACTCAATTTGGCTTTACCATACTCAACACTGGATGATGAATTATTTTGCACGTGATTATCAGAAAATAGTTTGATAACACGAATTTTGTTGCTGCTCACTAATAGATTTCTCTAAAACTTTTGATTCAATCGACCATAATCATTTTGAACAAAAACTCCAAGACTTGTTAGTTGTTTTTCATAGACAATTTGGAGCAAGTTTCATGATGAAAAACTCAATTTCAAGAGTATCCCTACCCACGGAAAAGCAAAAACAGTTAATGAGATTAAGTTCTTACTTTTACTTAATAAAGATCAAACAGTTGCAACCTATGTACAAATCTCATCGAAGTAAAAATTCCATTAGGTTGTGACATTATCAATTGAATGTTAAAAAAATTCTCCTTAGACTTTGCCGTAATTCACAATTACTATGATTATAGATACAATTTGACCTACACTTTTTATTTTAAAATACTTTTAAAAGGCAATTTACGACTTTTGATGTAATTATAAGCGATATCTTCAAACAACTCTCAACAATAATTTTGGTTTAGTGTAGTTGAACTAAGACTTGCCCTCAAAAGGAAGTAGACCTAACAAAAAGCACAAATAAAACACCAATGCTGAGCGCAAAGCACAAAAACAAAAAAAAGTTAGCCAAACGAAGCTATATAAAACATAATTGAGAAAACGCTCAGTTGAATAATTTTTTTCCTCTGAAAGTGATACGTTTGTATTTTCCAAGTTACAAAAATTGGGCAAGACAGAATAAAAACACAAAAGAAAGCAGTGGAGCAGACACTATCCGCACGGTAATATTGAGCAAAAAACAAACTAGACGAAAAATTGAAATTAGGCTAAGCAAAACTCAACTCTTGGGCGACAACTCATGGGCGAAACAAAAGAAATGCTTATAAGGGTGGTCAAAGCAAAAAGCCGGTCAAGGATACTGGCACAGTTATGGGATGTCATTTTTGTGCCCTATGGTTCCATGGTATCTGCTGTGCACTCTCGTCCGCTGATGTGCAAAGGCTGAGATCTCGGCCCAACTGACTCTGCCTTATCAACACTTGTCTACAATTTTAAGAGGACATCTTCAATCGCCCAAAAATAGAAACTAAATTGTATTTTTGTTGTTACAGTCTCCTACTGATAAAATTTCTGCAGCCTGAGTTTATCCGAGAAACATTTCCTGAGGTTTTTAAGGAAACCGCTAATGAGGACACACCTATTTCCCTGCTCCCCCATTCAAATTCAAAATTGAAAAGTTTTTTTTTTTGAAATTGGAACTGTCCAATGAAAATTGAGGTGGTGAACAGACCGACAACTGTGAACAGGTTTGTTTTTCCTATTTTACGTCGTAACCTTGTGCTTTAGCCTTGAAAACACGTAAGACAAACAAAAAACTCGATAGCTTGAAACGTAGGGGTGATTGGAAACAAACGGAGGCCGTTACTCAATTATTAGGTTCTTGTCTTCACGTAACAACCGTTGTTAAGTTGTCAAACAATCAGAAAACATCCAACGCAGTCTCTGAATTTCAATTCACTATCAATAGTTTAAATGAAGGATAATTAGATGAAACAGTTTGAAAGTGATAAGAATGAAGTAGCAAACGTCACTTCTCTATGAGTCTGAAACCTGAGGGCAAAATCACCGGCGCCAAACGACTCGTTAAAAGCGTCAATCCTGAAAAAAATTAGAACGAAATTTACGACCTATCCCAATCAGCGCTGCAAACCATCTCTTCTTACAAAAATGCTTTGCCGCAAACCATCATCTTCAATCATACGAATATTGAGTCTACATCAAAAAAACATGGATCTCAGAAGGACGAAAAATGGAGAAAATTATTCTCTCAAAACGTTACCATGTGATATAGGATGTGAAATTGAAAGAGGTTTTCCGAACAAAAACGTGAAGTCATATTCAAAAGGTCGACCAATTGAATTTAAACTGTATGCTGCATAACTGCAGATCTATTTGCAATTTATTCATCTTCCCGGGTTGACCAAAACTTCTTATCATACAATTTCCATATATGAGAAACTTCTTGTCATACAATTTCATACAATTCCATACGTACAGAAAATTGTATGAAAACTCTATGATAAGCATTTTTCCATATATGAAAATTGTATGATAGGTGTTTTCCCATAAACCAAAAATTTTGATTTTTTCTTTCTAAATTTAGTTTCTGAAAAATTTTCGGTTGCAGTTGCAACCGAACACTAGTGACAAAGACCTTGGTTACTCAAAACACCAAAGGTTGGACGGTCTTGCATTTACAATGCATAGAAAACGGCCTGAATTTGCGGTCTTTCACAATTGATATAACAAAAGTAACAAACTTATATTTTTTGGCAAAATTTTTTAATGATGATTATATTAAATTTTTGAATTTTCAAATTATCAGACATTGATCAAGGCGTACATTAACACCCCATACAAAAGAAAGATAAATGTTTGTTTGCGTACGAAAATCGATTTGCGGTTGAAAAAAAAAAATTTTGAGCCAAATTTTCAAAATTACTTTAAAAATTTTTTGTGTCGCCATCAAAAAAATGCCAGTCATACAATTTCCATATATGGGAATTGTATGATGAGCGTTTTTTTCAAAAAACGAAAACCTCAGTTTTTTATCACCAGATTGTTTTTTTAGAATCAAACAGCCACAGAAATCAGTTTATACCAGTTTTCAACCATTTTTAGAAATTGTATGAAAATTGTATGACAAGCATTTTCCTACACACTTGATGTATGGAATTGTATGATAAGCATTTTCGGTGTATGGAGGTCAACCCGGGTTTCTTAAATTCTATTTCACTGCTCTTTCTTACAGAAACCTGGTTCTCAGAAGTCTAAACTCAATCTGAAATATTACTCAGACATTCTTTAAACATTATAGAACGATCAGACTGCTCTGAAAG